ATCTGTGGACTGAGATCAGAGTTCAGATCTGCTTGCATGTTTTCCTGTTTTATTGCTGACCCCTCGAAGTGTAAACTGTTTCTGACCATGTTGGGGCAGGATTCAGAGGACCTCTCCACAGATGCTTTCTCCTTCTGAAGGGATATCTGCTTCAGGATTTGGTTTAGGTTTTCAGGAGTGATCTGATGCTTATTGTTGGAGTTAAGTTCTCCCAAGTCCTCTTCTTTTAGTCCAAACCACTGATGGCTCCCAGTAGTAGATTCTGTATACTTGGATTGGTCCAACCTGTCTGCTGCTGGATTTCCACCACCTGGATTAGGCTTCATGTCAGACATATTTCTCTTAAGGTCACCAAAGCCAAACCCAGTAGATGAGTAGTTTCCATCCTTTTTAGGTTTTTTGCATATTGACAGCCAGGATAAAGAGGTAGTATCACTGTCAGAATCCGAGCTGAATCCCTGAAGAGTTGACATAGTTTAAGAAGAAATCTCATAGAGGGCACATATAGTTCCCTACAACCCGCTGTATAACATATATTAAACGGTGTATTACGAGCCGCAAACTGGATCTATCAGGTAAAAATTGCTTGATTATGTCTTTTTGGGTGGAAAAAAAAGTTATATGGTTTAGCATTCACGAACCAGAAAAAACATATTTCACCTACTGTAAACTACCAAAATTACTCTGCTCGGGTCGCCGGTTTATTTCAAGTCCATATGTAACGACGAGGCACTAGCACTGAGCTTTAAAACGCATTTATCAACACGTTAAGTGTTGAGTAAAACTACTAGTGTCCCTCAATGCGGGGGTCCTTCCCTTTAATAAAAAGTTAACTTTCCTTCTTCTTCTTCTTCTATTGAGTTTTCTGGCAGTCTGCATCCTGTGTGCATTACCGCCATCAACTGGACGGAGATGTAATTCAGAAATATAATGTCTATATATCTTTATATCTTCATGAAACTAAATTCTATCTATACTTACACACACGCACATACACACACTAAATTCTCCCAGCTAATTCTGTATCTTTTAAATATTTAATAAGTGCTTTAATTATCTTATCTGATTGATGCTTCCCTAATAAATCTGCCATCTTTACTGAACTCCCCATTACCCTTTCCAGTTCTTTCCTCTCTTTTGTATATTTGCTACAATAGATCAACACATGTTCTACTCCTTCGATTTCTCCACAATAACAACAATTACCCGTTGGATGTTTCCCTATTATTTTTAGACCTGCATTTAAACTAGTATGCCCAATCCTTAACCTGTTTATCCATATTTCCTCTCTTCTACTCATTATACTGTTATATCCTATGCTAATATCTTTATGTATTTTATATAAATGTCTTCCTTTTTTTTCTAAATTCCATCTCTTCTGCCATACCTTATTTATTTTATCTTTAATAATTACTTTTATTTCTGTTCTACTTAGCGGGACATCATATTCAATTTCTCCTACTTTAACTGCTTCTTTGGCTAACTTATCTACTTTTTCATTACCTAAGATTCCTTTGTGTGCTGGAACCCATGTGAATTGAATACTTATATTTTGTTGCCTTATACCATACATTAAATAACTGACTTCATCAAAAAGATCTTGACGGCTTTCAGATTTTCCACTTTTAAAACTAGTCAGGCAAGACATTGAATCTGAACAGATAACTACATTTCTAGGCTTCACCTCCAGCACCCATTGCAATGCTAAAATAATTGGCAACATCTCTGCTGAAAAAATTGATAAATTATCTGTTGTTCTTCTCTTGATAGAAATATTTTCTTTTGGAATATATACTGCTACTCCTGTTTTACCATTTTCCTCTTTTGATGCATCTGTATATATTTGTGTCATATTTTCATACCTTACTTCTAAATGCTGCTGAATAATTTGATACGAACCTCCACAAGACTCTTCTATTTTTTTAGTTTCTAAATTTACTATTGGCATTTCGAAAAACCATGGAGCAATTTTAGATGTACTTACAGTTTTACAGTATGTTATATTACTTATCCCAGAATACTCTGCATAAATATTTCCTTCCCATCCAAAACTCCTTATATTATGGCCATATTCCCAACATTCTCTGAATATCTGTTTAGTAGGGTGATTTTCCTCATGCCCTTGTAAATTTAACCAGTAATTTATTGACAGTTTCATCCTAGTTAACTTTCCTTCTTTCTTTCTTCTTGTTTAATGGCGGTTGACAAGCAACTTATTGGTGTGCATTACCGCCACCTACTGGTAAGGAGTGTGGATCAGGACGCAACTTAAAAAAAAAAAAAAAAAAAAAAAAACAACTAAATCCTTTCTATCAGTTTAGTTTTCTTAAGAAATCTTAATAAATGACGTAAATATTCAGAAGAGGAGCAATATCCCAACATATCTGATATTTTTAATTGTAACTTATTCTTTAGAAGTCGATATTCTAATTCCCTTCTCTCCTCAGAGTACTTTGGACAAAACAACAAAACATGTTCTACTGTCTCTTCTTAAAAACAAAATTCACAATTTCCTGATGGATGTCTTCCCATTATAAATAATGTACTGTTTAAGCCTGTATGACCAAAACGTAACCTGGATATGATATTATCTTCTTTTCTACTTCTTCCTGTTCCCCTCATTACCCCAACTTTCCTTTGAATGCTATAAAGCCATCTACCAGTTTTTCCCCCCTCCCACTGCTTCTGCCATCTTTCCTTAACCTTTTGTTTTATAATAGATTTTATCTCCTCTTTACTATATGGAATCAGTATCTCAATGCAACTGTTTTTTGAAGCTTGTTTTGCATATCTGTCTGCCAATTCATTACCTATTACTCCTATATGAGATGGAACCCATGTAAAAATGACAATTAATCCCATGGTCTGAATTCTATAAAGTATTAACTGAATCTCCAATAGAAGGTCTGGTCTACTATTGGAATGATTATTTTTAATTGAATATAATGATGAGCTTGAATCAGAGCTAATTAAACTTCTTAAAGGATGAACATCTTCAATCCAACTCAAAGCCAAAATAATTCCCATCATTTCCCCTGTAAACACTGATACGTCATCAGAAATCCTCTTAAATTTTTTTAATATTAAATTCTGGGACGATAAATGACACCCCATTGTTGTTACTTAGGTTTTTAGATGCATCTGTATACACTTGAACAAAACCAAAATATTTATTTTCTATATATGATTGGACTGAGCAAGATTCTGAAAAATTTCCTTTTTCCCTCTTCTTCAACAATGATAAGTCCAATAAACAGTTAAGGAAAAGCTACGGCTTTTTCGGAAATGCGCATGCGCACACAAAAACACTTCCGGATTCTCATTGGACGACATACATTTTTTTTTTATTATAAACCATCGGCATTAGATGTATATAAACCCGATAAACCTGTAAAAAAATTATTTTTTGCTCAATACAATTTAATTATCACGTTTATACAATAAAATTAGCAAAGATATATTTTCTCAAGTGACAGCAATCCGCTTCCGTAGTTGTTTGCAACATACATCCTGTCTGAATGTAATACTTTTAACCAGACTAAGAATATTTAAATGCACTGAACCATTTAGTATACTATCTATAGTTCAAAAGTTTTCAGGAAAATAAAAACAATGTGAAAATGATATATACAATGAGTTCAATATTCAGCGAGTTATAGTTGACTAAAATTGATTCTGTGCCTGGTCAACGCATTACACTGACCGCCCCAAGATGGCGCCCCTAAATCTCGTCAGCCCCTATAGGCGAGAGTGGTCGAAGCCATAGATATCCATAATAAAGGATATCCATAATAAATGCCTTTATTATGGATATCTATGGTCGAAGCTGAGTCTCAGGGGCGGAGCTAGAAGGGGGGCCAATACATAAAATGTATTTCGCCCTCTAATACAGACGGTGGCAGCAGTAATACTATCAAGAGGAATGTTTAAAGTTATTAAACATTTTATTTTTTTCATATATTAATAATTACTTGAGAACTAAAACACTTTGGTTAATTATGCACATCAAAATACTAACATTAAAATTCATTCTGTTTTAAGACCCTTATTTTGTGTTATATGGGGTAAAGATGAAATTATGTCTCTCTTAAGTCATCAAGAAGTTTTCAGTGAAATCATAGATAAATAACAACTTTAATAATAATTTAAAAATCCATTTAATGTAGATATTAGTACATGTAATATTAATGTAATGCGGAACAATTTTTAATAAAAGTAGGTAGGTAATGACAATGGAAAAGATGTTTGCCCCAGACATTTTGTCCACTATACCTTTTATTTAGACAGCATGGATATTTAAATATATGCATCTATTTGTAATCAAAAGGCTTTAGCAAAGTCATAGTTTGTCTTTATTTAGAAAATATGGATGTTGTGCTCGTTCATGTTGGAACAGTGCAGATGAACCCTCAGGTTCTGGCGCCTATCCGCTTTCGGCCACCCCTCAGTTTACATTGGTTTTTGACTGGCCACCCCTTTTAAAAAAATCTGTCTATGCCTCTGCTCTTTATATATGTCTATGAGACATCTAGAGGATCTAATTGATGTTCTTCTCAATGTGTGCATGCTAACACTGATCTCATCCAGTGTGCAGCAGCATCAGGATCTCTCGTTATACCTAGACCAACACTAAAGTTACACTTTATTACTCCAGCAGACTCGCCATTGTGCTGCTGAGGAGATGACATGCAGAGTGAAAACGTCCCACGATTACCTGGATAACGATGTCAGGATAGTTCTCATGTTCAATCAAACATTTACCTGGAGCCCCAACTTCATGTGTGACAGACACTGACAGACAGTGATTCTGGTGCGCTGAGCTTTGGAAGGAATCTCGTAAAGCGATGTCCATCTGTTCAGCCATCCTCTCTCCACTGTGTATATATATATATATATATAGTTCATATTTTATATGTATGCATAAAGACTCACTCTTTATGTAGTATGTGTCTCACGTAGAAATAATAACCTGATGTGTGTAAATAGTCCATCAACATGTGTGAAGGCCCCATTTAGATTTTATTTGGGTTGAATGGAAATTATACAGGCTTACAATTACCTCATTACACTTGGGTTAAATAAATCCAACCCACATCTGAAAAAAAAAAAACTGGATCCCTAATACAGGAACTTAATAGGTTCTAGAAAAATAATCTATTTAAATTGTTCTGCTCAGGTACAACCCATATTGAGGCAACTTCTAACACAGAGTGGATCCTGCTTTAGTTTATATAACCAGTTAACATAGCAACAATCGGAACCATAGACTTCCAATTATACTATATAAGGTCCATATGTGACATCCATCTGATGCAAGTCAGCATTGGTTCAACAGTTTGTTCTAAAGTTATGCATCATTGTAGATTGACAGCTAGAAACCTCCCAACAGAACCCCAGTTCAAAAACATCTGAACTCTCCTTTAAATTTAACAGAATAAAACATTGGAACAAAAACTATATAATAGGCATAATTAGAAATGTTCTGTACACAAGTCTATCCAGCTTTCATACTTCATTAATGGCATACAGCACATTTAATGTAATGTAAGGTGGAGGGAAGGTAGAGTATATTACAAAAGAGGACACCAAATCAAGGAAAAAAAAAAAGAAAAACAGTCTGAGAATTTAACTTTCAGACAATGGTAACTTTTTGAAAAGTTAGAGCTAATACTCCAAAAGAAAGTTAGGCAAGTTCAATAAAAAGGCAGAACAATTGTTAACCATGTTCTCTCCTAAGACTACAACTCCAGGAACAGTTCTTCTAAACGTTAGTGTTAAATGATCTCCTTACATTTTTATTCCCTTTAAGATGTAAGAAGGAAGCCACAGAAAACAAATTGTGATAAATCTAAAGAACTTAAAGAAAAACATGTCGGCTTTTACTCCATCATGTTTACTGGAGTGATGATCAGAGGCATTTCGTTTTTCCCTGATTTATTAGTGCAGGGGCTGAAGAACGGGAAGAGGTTTTCTGTGAAGATGTCGTGGAAAGTGTAGATGTGGACTTTGGCTTCAACATTGTAAAAAGATACCTGCATGGAGAAGAAAAGAATAAAAAATGACATACAGTTCAATTAACTAACTTAACATCAGGGTAACATATCCAACCCTTTGTCATCCTGGTTTAATTAGTTTCTCCATATAAATAAGGAAAGGATATGTTTTATTTTCACCTCTCCTTTCTCGTAGTCCACGAATATTCCTATCTTATGCGGTCGGAGGTTAATCTCCACGTCTGTGCAAGGCTCAGAGCGAAATGCATATTTGTGTCTGAGGGCAAAAACAAAAAACATCATCATTTTCTGCTCTGTTTGCCTACAGATGCATTATTTAAGAGTATTTAACATGGAACTGTCCAGGTTATCCAAGTGATCTGATAAAGTGAAGATGGCATTTACTGTGAACAAAGTCACAGTAAATGCCATCTTTTTGTTCATTAGGCAGATAATTAGGCATGACTACAAAACACTGCATGGAACAATTTTAAATAAAATGACTGTATAAAAAAAAACTGTTTTGTAAAAACAAAGTAGCAGATATAGTTGTAAAATACTTGAGGAAAATCCCAGGACTAAAGTTCACAGGTAATGTTTATTTTGCCATGATGCTTTTGCTTGTGTTTTGGTTATTTCAGGGTTTATTATTGTCAGTAAGGTCTTCATATTTCTGTATCCTTACTGCAGTTGGTTTTCTCCATGATTTCCAGTTTTCCTTGTATCATTTCTGTATTTTTCCCATAATTATGTCATATTATATCTCTTCCCACACTTTGATACTACCATAAAGTAGCTATTAATCGATCTTTTTATTTGAATGTAGTTATGTATGAATTCTGTTCATGTTTTCTGAGACTTTTTGAACATAATGACAGTTTGTGACAGACGAAGATCTTAAAGAATTAACCCATGGTCTTTTGAGGAATTAAAAAGTTCCTAAAATGAATTTAAATACATTTACTTTTGTCAAAAAGTCTTGTCAAATTAAACTCACCTGTCTCTTAAACTGAGAAACCAGAAGCCATTGTTTGGGGTATAATCAATTTTCCCTTTCCTGTTGACTGACTGACTGGCCACGCCCAGATCCCAGTCAGTTTTTCCATTCACCTCCACCTGATCACAGGAAGCACATGTTTACCATTAAACAGGACATCATTTGAGAGGCAGTAAATTTATACAAAACTTCTCAAATATACATTTTAGCAATCTATATAATATCCTATCTACAGACTTGTTACAGGTAACAATTAATATATACAATATACCACAGAACCTACAGGTTATTTAAAAATAAGACAAATAAGGGACGATTCTTCGCTAGGCATTGTCTTCAATGTTATGTCCTTTTTTTGCCCTTTTTGTGTAGAAAATGATATTTGCCAACATTTCACATAAAGTTAAATTTAATAAGACACTCATATTTGGTCCTAAAAATGGGAGAGTTCCTTTTTTTTTAAAGGAATTGGTGGAAACCCTATAATTACAGTAGCTTTCACAGAGCCCTCATTTAAAGGTTAATTTTAAAATGTATTAAGCTTACCGGTTACTATGTAAAACGTTTCTTCCCTAAAACATGTGAGGTTACTTTACTTGGCCTTGAGCTTGCTTTTTTTTTTCAAAAAAAATCTCTAGTGACTTTAACAAAATTATGTTAAGTCCATGGGTTTAAAGGTTACTTTACTGAAAGCAAACTGGTTCTTTTTAAAAGAAAACTCTGTTATTTTCCAGAATACAGGTTACTTTTCACATCCTTCTCAAGTTATATATAAAAAAAACTACAGTTTACTTCCTTTAAGGGTAAATAAAATTAATTCTATAGAATTAATTCAGCACCTAAAAGTTATTGTCAACGGATATGATGTGCTACTTTCCTTACCACTTGTACTTATGTGAAATTAACCTTTTATAAATGCATGTCTTACAGTGAGGAAAATAAGTATTTGAACACCCTCTTATTTTGCAAGTTCTCCCACTTAGAAATCATGGAGGGCTCTGAAATTGTCATTGTAGATGCATATCCACTGTGAGACATTATCTAAATAAAAAAATCGAGAATGAGTAAGAATACAACTACTAACAACACTCCAAAGACACTAGAGACTAATTTGTAAACCTCTACAAGGCTGGAAAGGGCTACAGGTAAATTGCCAAGCAGCTTGGTGAAAAAAGATCCACTGTTGGAGCAATTATTAGAAAAGAGAAGAAGCCAAACAGGGCTGTCATTCTCCCTCCGACTGGAGCTCCATGAAAGATCTCATCTCGTGGGGTCTCAATGATCCTGAGAAAGGTGAGAAACCAGCCCAGAACTACACGGGAGGAGTTGGTCAATGACCTGGAAAGAGCTGGGACCACCGTTTCCAAGGTTACTGTTGGTAATACTCTAAGACGTCATGGTTTGAAGTGATGCATGGCACGAAAGGTTCCCATGCTTAAACCAGCACATGTCAAGATCTGTCTTAAGTTTGCCAATGACCATTTGTATGATCCAGAGGAGTCATGGTAGAAAGTCATGTGGTCAGATGAGACCAAAATAGAACTGTTTGGTCATAATTCCACTAACCGTGTTTGGAGGAAGAATAATTAAGGGTAGGATCCCAACAACACCATCCATACTGTGAAGTGGGAAAACTTGCAAAATAGCAGGGTGTTCAAATACGTATTTTCCTCACTGTAGCTTACAGGAAGTAAATGGAAGCACCAGTTAAGCTCTTGAGAAAGCCACTAGGTTTCAATAACCTGCAAACAAGGTTTAAATCCTCTGTACTTATAAGGATAGAATGAAAGCAGCATGCGTAATATTGCATGAAAATTGTATTCTGTATTTGCTGTGATGACTTCACACAAAGAAAATCTGTAAATTCTATTCAAGTTACCTGTAAGTTTCTAGACATAACTATTACGTTCCAGTAAGACAGCTGTAGCTTTGGGCAATGTACAAGATTTATTTTTATGTTGCTGCATATTTTCATGCAACATGGCATCTTTATACCAGGCTGTCCAAACTGCTGATATGAAGAGCTGTTTACCTCCCAGTAATGTTTTCCAGAAGAGATTGCTTCTCTCCCAAGGACACAGACGACTTTATCAAACCTGTCGGGACTGTCTGGCACATGGTGGTGTCGATCCCCACACCAAACCTGCAGAAAAACTCTTTATTAGCAAAGATTTCTAACGGCTACATAAAAAAAAAACACCTCTGAACAGGTAGCTCACACTTTTCAGGTCTTCTGACAGCAGCAGTCTGGGATGGGCTGTACTGGAATCCAGAGTAACGTCCACTGTTATGAACAAAAATGAAACAAAATTAAATATCCTGTTATTTTCATTATAACATCGTATTCAGGATTATTTCACTTGTGATTTACTCAACCATGCATTTTAGCAGGGCATTCATATGAAAAATTATTTTAATTTGATATTATTTTGAATAAGTTTATATCAGAAATTTGACTAATTAGGAGAATGTATGGTTATCTAACACTTGCATGATTCCATGATAGGAATCCTTTTTTGTAGATTGGTGTAAAACACATTGCTATAATTATCTTTAAGCATTAGCTCTTAATATAATAACGTCTAGTTTTAATAAAAAAAAGTTTTGCTAACATAAACAATAAAATAAAGTTTATAAAGTAGATGATCTTAGTAATATACAGTGCTGCGAAGCAACAAAATACAAATACTTCTTACTGAAGTTAGGTGGCTTTACCAGTTATCTCCACTTTACTTTAGAATTCATTTTTCTAAGAACTTTTCACTTTACATTTGCTACATCTGTACTTTCTGCTCCCCAAATGATCAAAATTGACTTAAACACATGACCCTGGATGACCCATAATATACAAGAAAAAATAGGAAAAATCAATTCCATAGAAAATTAATGTTTTGTCACAGCTACCTAAACAGGTGTCACTATTTGTCATGGTGCATAATCACTATATAATAATTAGCAGAACTTTGCAAAGCATATATTCTTAACTTTTCTAAAAAATTGATTTCACACAATCTTGTTTCTTAAAACTCTCTTTTAAATTTAGATTTATAAAGAATAAGACCGGATAGTTCCAATTAACTGAATGTAACATACATGCATATTCTTGCATCTTCTTTACTCCTGTAAAAAAAAAAAAAAAAACACAAGCACAAAATAAATAATTATGTGTTAAAAGAAATCATTTAACTGTGAATTATCATCCAAAAATCATTCCCTAGTCAAAGGAAATGTTACTTTTTTTTTTATGAGAACATAAACTCACTGGGCTTTGTTTGTACCACACTGGCTTCCAATACTGGAGAGGGAAAACCTAGGCAGAAACAAAAAGGACGTCAGAGAGCGAAGCAAACAAGGAGGTAAATTTAATCCATGTAACTGATGTTACTACAGTTTCCCAGTTTTGTACTAATTGTATTTATGTGAAAACTGGCAGAATAATAGATACTAGTCTCATGTTAATTTGATCTTTAAAAAAGTTTCAGACCTAAGGTCATCAAAATAAAAAGTTCATAACATGATTTAACCACTAGAGGGCAGTGTTTAACTTTTAATAATAGAAGCTGAAATGTTCCTACAGTTTGATAACCATGTTTTATATAAGTTTAGGGCTGCAAGTACAGTCTGGTCTCTTTGTGAAGAGTTAAGCCATTTTTCTTTTGCACTAACCATTTTCTAGAACATTTTTTAGATCTTCCTGGAACTTCTCCACCACGGCTGCCAATGATCTGTAGACGGTAGATGTTCCCAGGTCAAGATTCAGAGAGACTGCGGACCAGTCTTTGGTGATTGGAGGTCTGGACAGGCTGGGGAATGTCTAGAGAATATTTACAAATGCATAAAGAAATGTCCAGAGTGTTCTCCTTGAAATAGCCTTAAATTCTGACTCACCTTGATACAGTGTACGTGGTCCTCTGACTTGGCGAGGTCAGCCAGGGCGGCCTCTCTCCTCTGGAGTTCTTCTATCTCCCTCTCCAGGTGCTGAATCATGGCGTCTGCTTCGTGCTCTGCGGCCCTGCGGCTGTTGTCCATCACCTCCATCAGTTCAGCCTGGGAGCGTTCGATGGCAGAGGCCAACATGGAGAAGAGACACACGCTGCCTGACGTCTCCCTCTCCACCGCCATCTGAGGAGGTATTAAAACCCTACAATTATTGACTAAAACATTAACAGTACTGTAGCAGCCATTCAAAATGGGCCTTCCCAAATGGCAGCCTACTTCATTGCATCTCCCAGCAAAATCACTTCCAACTTCCAGCCACTGGAGTGACCCCTCCTTCTCTTGGGCATGCACATTTTTTTAAATCTGACTCAACCTTTCACAGAAATACATGGTTTGACCAGAAGATGAAGCTTCTCTTTAGATCTTATTGTCCACAAACCATGACAGAAAGAAAATTTTTTGTACAAAGATTGATGTTTAAAATAGATGTTGGAGATCTGCCTGTTTTTCAGTGTAGTCCTGTTTCTCTGACTGTGACTGGCTGGATATGCTCTCTCCATCCCCTGACATGGGAGCTGGCTCGGGGCTCATCTGCCTGGCTGTGTGTTTCCTGGATGGGGCCTCCTTTTACAGCTGCTTTTTCTATGTCTGCTTCTGTCTTCTTGAACCCCAGTCGGCCTCGGCAGATGGCCGCTCACGCTGAGCTGGTTCTGCTGGAGGTTTCTTCTGTTAAAGGAAGTTTTTTCTCTCCATGGTCGCTACAAGCATGCTTAGTGTTAGGGATTGCATTCCAGTCAATGAGTCGATGCAATCAGCTGGTTTTCCTTCGATAGAAACTTTGAATTAATCTGACTGTATGATCTGGTGAACTGTAAAGTGCCTTGAGATGACATGTGTTGTGAATTGGCGCTATAGAAATAAACTGAATCGAATTGTAGGGACCAGCCAAGGACCCATCAAGGAAAATAGGGACATTTTGAATGGCTACTACTGTAATTAAAATATATGCTGCATGAATTCTCTTAAACTTTAAGAGGTAATCTAGGGAGCTAAAAATGGAATAAAACCTTTTAAAGCAAAATGATCGAATGAGAAAAAAGAATTTGAAATAATCCAAACATGTAATTTTTACCATAATTTCTGCATGTTTGCTTTGTGCAAGCTTGTGTTACCTCCAGTTCTGCCACCGACATCTTGATCTCCTCAATTTTTCTCCTCCTCTGGCTGATCATCTCCTGGATCTGCTGTTCAGAGTCCTTCAGCAACACCTGTAACACACCCAGACATGTGTTGGATTCACTGCACCTTCAGCCAACTTATATACATCCATTTCTTTCATTCAGGTTGTTTTTAAGCTAGTTTTCTCTTTTCCAGAATTTGTTTTATCCGTTGTTTAGTTCATAGCTTTATCTTAACATATATTAAAATTGATTTTTGGTTGTTATCTGAAACAGCATCAATATACATGGAGAAAAAGAACTAAACATGGTTAAATGTTTAATGTCCATTAGAACAAGGGCTGTTGAACCATAAAACATATGTCTGGACATAATGAACATGACTGATGCATTAAAGGGATGGTTCAAACTTTATAAAGATGGTTGCTGTTTCAGGTCATTATCAGTCAATATGTTTCCCACAGTATCTAGGCCTGTCATTTCCTTGGTTGTTAGCTCAAGGTTTTAGTTTGTGTTTGTGTTTTCAGCATGTTGTTGTTTATTATATTCTAATAGGTTTCCCAATACACTGTTTTTAATTCAGCCATTTAGCCTTTGCAATTATTTCTCATATTTGTTAAATAAGTATTTTCTAAATCAGCAAATAATTTTCTGTTTTTAGTTTATTTCTATGTTATTTTCCAATGATCCTTTATATCTGATGGATGAAAATACCTCCTCAAGATTATTTGAACCTGAATTTCTTTTAGGGATTATAATATGTTTTATTGTATAAATAAAATAGGCAAGATTGCATAGATTATTTGTCTTATGGACCAAAATAAAATAGTAGACTTGAGATTTTTCAACATGTAGAAAGATAATGTCTAGATTTTATACCCGACTAGTTGTTTAGCATGTGAGGCACTGATTGTTTGTAGCATTAGCTGCTAAGAGAGTTAGAAGCTTCAGGTAAAAAAAAATTACTGTTTAAAAGCCCTTAACAGTAACGTTTTAATCTCAACTCTTTCTTTAAGGAGTATTCACTGAAAGGTGTTTGTTTCTCTGCACTATGGCTGTTAGAGGATTTAACTTAAAAAAAAAAAAGGTAATGATGAGATTGTGCTTGCACTGTACAGTCACTCATTGTTTTGTAAGCTCTGCGATTGTTAGTGTAAGCTCTCAGTTTCCATGATATCACAAAGCTCAATCAAGCATTACATAAGAAGGTACCTATGCCCTGTACAACAGGTTACTATGACCATTGATTTAAAGATATGTTTTAAGTGGAAATTTCTATTTTCTACATAAGGGAACTGCTGCTATCAGCTGTCAGTCATCAGATGCACTGCAGAAATTATTTTCTGTGCTTCCTTGAACAACCAATGGCCATTGTTCCATGAGTTTTGGCTGCTTTAAACATTAGCAGGACCTTTTTTTTTTCCTACCTTATTTTCCACCCACTCGGTCTCAATGGTCACAGTGTCATGATCATTGTGGTCTTCAATCTCACATTCAGGACAGATGCACACTTGGTCTGATTTACAATAAAGCTGAAAGCAAAGAAAATATGTTTTAGAGTGATTTCAAGAAAAAAAAAAGAGGAACAATGTTACTGACATTAAATTCAGTTCAAACGAAACAAATACTCCATTAACTAACTAAGGGAAATTAATTGTTGTAGAAACTAATTGGCAGGAAAAATCTTCTGTAGTGGTCTGTCTTGCATCTGATCTGAATAAGCCCCTAACTGAAGACACACTTTGTTCTTTAACTGAATTTCCCTTTGTGGATTAATAATGTTTATTTGAATTGACAATATTCTGACAATATTCTGTACAGGAATTTCTTTAAATTTCTTTATTAGCTTGTTGAGTTTTTTTAAGTCATTGGCTCTGATTCTGATGCTGTTACCCCAACAGATAATAGCAGAAGAGATCACACTTTTCGCAGCAGAGTTATAGAAGATACGTAGCATCTTTCTGCAAGCACTAAATGACCTAAGATTCTTAGGAAGTACTGTCTGTTTTGTCCCTTCTTGTAGACAGTTTACAGTTTTGTCTCCAGTCTAATTTGTTTCCAGATGAACAAGAATATTATATATTCCTCCACCAGTATCACCACTTCTCATATTCCAATTGGATTCAGCTTATTTCTATTTATTCTGAAATCTGAAAATCATCTCCCTTGTTTACATTCAGGATCCGATGATTGTTTTTATATCAAATGCGGTTGACCAGCTTCTTGTGTGTCTTTGATACACCATATGACTACAGCAGGGATCTCAAACCGGTTCCAGAAAGGGCCATGTGGCTGCAGGTTTTCTTTCCAACCAAGCAATGGCACACCAGACTCCATTCATCTCATCAAGTCATCATGTTCAGATTGCACTCAGTTAATGAGATAAATGGTGTCTAGTGTGCCATTGCTTGGGTGGAAAGAAAACCTGCAGCCACACGGCCCTTTCTGGAACCGGTTTAAGACCCCCTGGAATACAGAGTCATCTGAGTATTTCTGGAGGCAACAGGGCTCTGTCTGGTCCTGAAAGTCAGAGGTGTACAGAGTAAAAACAAATGGTAAGAGTACCGTGCCCTGTGGTTCTCCCGCGCTACTGACTATCTGATTAGAAATTTGACCCTTCACACATACAACCTGTGGTCTATATGTGAGGTGGTCTTTGATCCAGGTGATTGTTATGGCCTTCAACTAAGTCTTCTGAAGTATCTTGCACATTAAATCAGGTTAGAAACACTGGGAAATCAAAGAACGTGATCCACACAGTGCTGCCTGCCTTGTCTAAATGACAGTGGGTTTGCTGGAGCAGGTGTAAGATGGCCTCATCAACTCTAACCCCATGGGGGTAAGCTAACAAAAGGGCTCCTAGTAGCTGCTTGTTTGCTTGCTGAAGTGGACCAACATGAGTCTGTCTAGGACCCTCATGATCCGGGATGTCTGGGCAACAGGTCTATAATCATTGGTTGAGTTTTCTCTGATACTGGAACAAGGCAGGAGGTCCTCCACATCACTGGATCAGTCTCCAGGCTCACGCTATGGTTGAAGAGGCGCTGTAGAATCCCATAAAGCTCCTCTGCTCTGTAAACTCCCTGCAAACTCTCCAGTTGCTTCCTCACTGTACTTGTAGAGACAGACTGGCAATATGGCGAAGGGAGCGGCACAATCTTCTGATTTGACTGATAATAAACTCATAGAAGCAAAAGGCTCAATGGCATAATGCTGGTTACACAATCATTTTTGAGGTTTAAGGGAAAATAACGTCTTAAAATAGGGTGACACTGGTTTAAAAGAGATATTTATTTAAACCAAATAATATTAAATTATCTTTTGAAAACTACAGTTTGCATTTAGCTGGTTTATTCCAGCCTGATATTAAAACATTTATGTCAAAACAGAAGAGACCTTAAAGGAATGAGTCAGTATATGAAATAAAGCTTTGATTAATGTAATAGAGAGCATAGGTGGATGAAATACAAGGTAATGTGTTTTACCAATATTCCTCGATTATGAATTTCACACAGAGGGACGTTGCTACTAGCTGGCCCACTCAGGGTGAACCTTCTGCGGCTGTGGTTGCGGGCAATCATAGTGGAGGAGAGATGATGAAAGTTGTTCTGATGATGATGGTCCGGACTGTGGCTCAGCGTGGAAAAGGCCCGATGGTTTGGAACTGATAACGGCATTGGGGGTGTGGCCAGTGGGAACGAAGGCGATATGGACACACCTGGCAAAGATCGGGCTATTAAAAGGACAAGGTGAGAAAGATGTTAGATGGCAGTTATCCCTCTATTTTAATATGTAACATCTATAGAATTTATTAGTATCAACATCATTCATTGGAGAGCATTCAGCATTCCTACAGAGCTCCAGCAATTCTGGATAACATAACCCTGGAGAATGTGAAATGAGCTGATTCTAAATCTGCAAGCCCCTCAAAGGTGTTCTGACATGTTTGGAAAATGGTATTCCTGAGACAGATGGTTGTAAACCTAACCAAACCAAGGAGGACATTGTGTAAAGACTAAAACTTTATTTAGCTGTTTAGCTCTTTTTTCTTAGATGTTCTACTTCCTGTGCACATATGTATGTGTTTTTGCTCTTTTAGTCCCAGGATTATATTTACTGTGATTCAGATTCCCATCTTTGTGAGGTTTGTCATAATGCAGATTAGATTTCCACCTTGGATTGCTGCTTGTATTGGTTTTTTGACGACAAGCATGGAATTAACACAGTGGTAGCTTACCAGCTGGGACAATAAGCAAGACAGTGAAAGAGAAAAGGAACTGCCGACCATTGGGGCCAGCAGCAAAACAAGTCACAGGAAAGAAAAAGGCCTTTCATGTTTTATTTTTTGAGTTTTTTAAAGTAGAAAATCTAAAAACCTTTATTTCCTAAATCATTTCAGTAACGTTTCATATATAAAAAGTTGAGAATTAAAATAATATAGCAAAATTGTTAACATGTAAACCATAATGTATTTAATAAAAAAAAAATTATAAAAGTAAAAATCAAAAAATTAAAAGTAACTGTAAATAAAAAAAATAAATCAGAACAAGCTAATTAAAGCACTGCTTTTAAATTATCGCTCAACAGAGCGGTTTTAAAAATACACTGAGGAAACAGGCCTGGACACAAATGATGGTAACACTAGAAAAGACTGAAACTAATGTGTCCAAAGGGTTGAGTTAAACCAAGGTCTCTCCACTAATTAGCATCACAAACTTTTAATCAGTCAGTGGGTCTATATAGAACTACAGGTATCCACTGTACTGTTTGGTGTCATGGTGTGTACCACACTCAACATGGACCATAGGAAACCAAAGAAAGGATTGTCTCAAGAGGTTAAAAAAGAAAACTATAGACAAGCATGTTAAAGATAAAGGCTATAAGACCATCTCTAAGCATCTTGATTTTCCTGACTAAAATTTGTACACATTGTTCAGAAATTTAAGATTCATCTAACTGTAGCATGCCTCCTTGGATGTGGCTGCTGGAGGAAACCAATTTAGATTAAAGATACAGATACTACTAATAGAACTGTAACAAAAGAGCCTGGCAAAACTTATAAAGGAATTAAAGGTGAACTTTAAGCTCAAGGTGTCATGATCTTGGCGCTGATGGTTTGGTTTTATCCTTGGCTCCTTGCTCCCCTGTCTAATTGGTTCTGCGGCTGATTATCTCTGATCATTTCCACCTGGTTCCTCACTATTTAAGTTGTGTGTTTGCCTCCCATCAGCGCCAGGTTATTCGTGTGTTTTGGTGAGACGTTTCCTGTCAATCTTTAGTCTGTCTGTTTTCCCGATTGTGACCAGTTTCTGCCTTGAGGATCACAAGTTTTGCCTTGCCCCTGTCTGCTCTGTTTGTCCTGTCTGATCCTGGATTCTACCGGCTTCTGAACCTGGAACTGTCTCCTGACTTCGGCCTTGGATTTCCCTTCTGGACTCTGTTGCTGCTCAGCGTCTGCTGCCCGCTCTCTAGGAACTCTGGGGGCGTCACCTGCCGCATCTGCGGTCAAACCTCCCTCCGGGATTCTGACGTTCTTCGCGAATGGACTGAACTTTAGGTCAGTGACTTTGCTCCAAGTCGTATTCAGCTCCACATCCAGTAACTGACCTGCATTCTCCTATCCCTGCAGAGATCCGCCCCGCAGCAGACGAGCAGTCCCGCGTACCTGTTTGTTTATAATAAACGCTTTGAACTTTCCCACTGCCTGTCTCGCCTCGAATTCTGGGTCCAATATTCTGAGATCATTACACAAAGAACATCTGTGTCAGATCACACCAACGTTCACTCTTTGAGCCAAAGTGGACTTAATGGGAGACAATAAAGGACATGGGTGTTGAAATCAAATCATAAAAGGCCAGACAGAAATTTGTCAAACTACATGTTGAGGTACAAAGCCACAAAGCTTTTTGGAGAATCTCCTAGTAACAGGTGATAAAAACTTGAGAGCATATCACCTCTATGATCACTGACAGAAAAAATTTAGTATATAAAGTAAAGAACAAATACCCTACAATGAAACATGGATGAATGTCTATTATGTTCTTGGGCTGCTTTGCTTCATTTGGGAAAGTGTGTCTTAAACCTCTGCAGGTTACAATGAAATCTTAAGACTATCAAGGGATTCCAGAGAGAAATGTGCTGCCAAGTTAAAGCTAAGGAAAACATTGAACTGATGTGGCCCTATATGAGCTGTGACCTAAATCATTTTAAACATCTTTGGAAGGAGCTGAAACATGCTGTCTGAAAAAAGGCAGCCGTCAAACCTAAGACAGCTGGAGCAGTTTGCTAAAGAGGAGTGGACCAAAATTCCTGCTGAGAGGAGCAGAAGTCTCATTGACAATTACAGGAATTCGTTCGTTTACAGCAATTGCCTCAAAAGGTTGTCAAAGTTTAGGGGTACTCCAAAAAACTAAAAAGCAATCCACTCTCCAAGTATAAAGACATTTCGCTTCCCATCCAGCAAGCTTTTTTTAATAAAAAATGTCAGGAATATCACTCAGTTCGCGGTTTGATACCGCAGCCCAACAAAGCCTTGTTTTTGTTTTGAAAACATGGAAATTGGAGCAGACGAAGGGGTCCACCCCTTTGGAATGGGGCTCATTTGGCTTCTTTTGTTAGCATGCAATACCCCATACCTTTCTGTCTGAAAGGTCGGTCATTAAAGGGGATTGTTGTCCTGGGTGAATAGGGGGCTGCGATGATAACGGGAAGAGATTAACTCAATAGCTGCATTGTAAGTTTTCGAAACCTGGAACCTGAGTCCACCCCCTCTGTTTAAGGTTGTTTTTTTCTTTCATAACATATTTTCTTTATCCAAAATGTGAACATCCTGTTCCGCAAAAGAATGTCCTTTGTCCATAAGGTGGTTCACTAGCAAGTTTAGGGGGTCCCATCATTTTTGTCCATATTCATAGGCGTAACCACCTTTACCATTAGCTTTATGGCTCAATCAAAGTAGTTTGGCTGATTTACCTTGGGTTTGAGCTGTGGTTGGCAGTTGTAGATGTTCCTTTGGTGGTGGTTTGGGCATCCTCATTTTTAGTTCTTCAATGAAATTGTGATGCTTGTGTCCTCCCTTTCGTCCTTTCTTGTCCTTCACCGACCCGCCACCTCTCATAGATTTGAACTGATCAGTTATCTCTCTAAGAGTCCTGTTGATCTGGAGGTCGGGTCGCTTCTGGTAGGTCTTCTTACACAAAGGACACTGGCAAATCTGGAAGAGGATGGTAGGATGGGGAACGAGATCAAATCAAAAAGGGCAGCTGACACATAAAATAGGTTAATAAAAGGTAAAATACTAGAAATGTGAGGAGATACATAGGTCAAGTAAAGTATAGTATGAATTGCCTTCCACAAATTAAAATAAAAACCAGACTGATCAGCCCAAAAATATGTTATCAGTACATCTAAAAGAGAAAAACACAAAGGCTATTTTTGTCATGCATACAATGCGTTTGCTTTAAATCCACCTTAATCTTTGCTAGGCTTAAAAAGAAGGTAAGTGTGTCAGCAAAGTAACAATATGGATAAAGCAATTAAAATAGAATAGTAAAAAGTGATATATTTAGAATCAAGCCATTTATTATACTGACCATCGTAAACTCACCTGCTTCATGGGGATATATTTAAATTTAAGGTTTAAAAGTGTTAACATATGCTAACATGCCTGCATAGATTTGCAATATGTGTCCTTTAGTTTAGTGCTATCCATGGCAATTATTGTATTAAAGGATACCCATTTGTTTGACAAGCGGGATAGCACAGAAAGAGGAGTGGGTATATTTTGATTAGATAAAACGTAAATGGCTTAATCAATAACACCTCCCTTTAACATTATACAGTACATGTATATTGAATTCAACCTGTAGAGCAAAGGGAGGCGCATGTTTAATCAAAACTTTCTATGAAAAATAATTAAAAAGAGATTACCGAAATCCACTTTTTCTTAAAGTCATTGAGCGCCCAATGCGGTGGGAATGCCACTCGAGGTTTTTCACACTAATCTATATCTATAGCTCCCTGCACAGATTTTTGACCAGGTTAAAAGTAAAGTCTCTGCCTAGACGTTCATAAACAAGCATGTTACTCCATTGGCCAGGTAAAACATGGTGTAATTGAAAGATCCCTGCAAACCTGCACCAGACTATGGTCTAAATATTATTGGTGTAACTAAAATTTTGAAATACATATGTAGTATGTCTGTGTGTATATATGTATGTAATGTATACAGATGGATATGTAGGTATGTATGGATGGAGGTGTATTTTTTATTTTTTAGTATATCAAAAATTTGATAGGCTGTTTTTTTTTGTATTCAATGAAATGAATGAATAAATAAATAAAAAAAAATTTAAAAAAATAAATATGTTATAGATGTGTTGCACAGTTTAAGCTAATTTTCCTAATTTCCACTTCATACCCAAACAGACCTACATGGGAAGCCCAGTTGGTGTTCATATGTCCGACGCTACTTCCGCATAAAAAGCTCATTGTGAGCCAAGGCCCATTTGGTATTGATCTGGGGTTTAAAAGTGATGAATGTCTCTCCAAATGATGGGAAACAGTAGCTAAAATTATACTAACACTTTTTTGTTCTAATTCATCTGTTGTAACGGCAGCAGGTGTGTTACTGTTACTGGTGCTTCAACTTTTTTCCTTTCTGCTCTGCACAGTAGGACAACAATATGATGGTAAATATAATCCATATCAATGGCAGAAATGTCTTGAACAGTGTTTCAGTTCAACAACTGGTCCCTTGATTATATTATATATGTCAGTGTTGGGCACTAGAAACGTAAATGCTGCATAGATATGATTATAATATGCTTACACTGAGAAACACAGTCAGTTCAGTTGAAGGAAGCTTCAAAAATCACGCACCTGAGATCCATCCCAGTATCTAGTGATGCAGGACACGCAGAAGCTGTGGCCACATGGTGTGGTTGAAGGATTGTTGAACACATCCAGGCATATGGAGCATGTGAACTGATCTTCAGTCAAAAAGCTCCCATACAAAGACATCCTGAAACAAGACTAAAGGACAAGCATGAATTAGACAACCTCTCCCTGGTGAGCAGAAGATCCATGTAGATCAGTTTTGTTGCATCTTCCTTAAATTCATCTATAGAGAACAGCTGGTACCTGTGTGTGTATTATTTTGTGGACTTAAAGAAAAATTAAAAGTTCCTATATTTTTTCTCATAGTTATAACTGAGCATTGGATTTACCATATGAGAAGACTGGTGTGATAAATGTAATTTCTATTCACTGTGTATGGTATTATAAGACATTTTAAAAGTAAAGGGCTTAACCCTCTCCAGGCACATGTTGCAGATTTGCAACAGCTGAATGCCACTTAGCTAATTACTCCACAACCATATTTTAAAAGATTTTGTTACTCAGAAGAACAACAGAAGGACTTAGTTGTGCATTTGCAACAAACAGTTTCTCACTGCTGACTCACTTTCAACATGGCTGAGTCCTTGGTGTCACTGAAACAGATTTTCTAAGCACCAATTTCATGTAAGTATCACTACCAATTTCCATTATTTTGAAATCAATGCTACATAAGACGAATCATGAATGTGTATAGATATGACACATGGCAATTAGTAGATTTTATCTCCTCTGGGTTTTTCACCAGAGGCATCTCAATTTCAACAACATATTGTTATTATGAGTGCATGTGAAATCGTACGAAAAGTTATGCACACTATTTCGTATGTTTTGGACGTTTTTCCTCAAAAAACCACATCAGTGCGCATTCGCTGGCAGACAGAAAAAAAAAAGCAGATCCGCGGACAGGGCGTAAAAATGGGAAAAACAGTGCAATCATCACTTATTCATGTCTCCAAATACGTTGCTTGCTGTTTTATATCTTAGGGTTAGGGTTAGGGTCAGGGTTAGGGCTAATTGTAATTTATATTCTATATTCGTGAATGGTGCGTCAGATGTGCATGCGCATACGACGAAAAAAAACGTCCAAAACGTACGAAATTACGGTGCATAACTTTTCGTACGATTTCACACGCACTCATAATGAGAATAGGTTGATTTCAATGTTGTGGATTCGCAACGTGTGCCCAAACAGGTACCAATGGATGCTACATGCTTTATCTATTAGTTTGCCTATATTTTGAGCAACAGTTTAACAGAAACGGCCTTCTCAAGACGTTTTGAGATGTCGGTGGAGAAAAAGTTTGAGAAAAAGTTGTCTCTAATTTTGTGAGAGAATTTTTTTTTCTTCGAATTCTGTTTGATTTTTTTGTTTGTGACATTCAAATAAAGTTAACGTTAATATCAGATTAAGTTTTCAGTGTTAATTTTCCACTGCTGCAAATCTGCAAAATCCCAGAATTCATTACATGTGAAGGTCTCTCTCAAAAAAAGTCTGAATTGTATATTACTACCCCATATGATCATTTTCTCCAAATATTAGATTTTTCCTGCAACTCAACTTAATTTGAGCAACATTGTGTAAAATTTGAGCAACATTGTGCAAAATCCAACATTGTTGGCACTCACTATTATTTCTGTCCAGGCTGTTAATGTTAATTTTTCAACACTGCTATTTTGTCCTTTTGCAGTTTTGGTTCACTTCCTAAAACCAATATTTTCAGTGCGTTGCAAAATCATTTAGACCTTATGAACTTTTCCTTTACAATAGATTCTGTCACATTAAAGCCTCAAACCTCACCATACGCCATTGTCTTTAAAAGGGATTTATGCCATAGACAACAAAGCAGAATATAATTGCAAAGTGGAAGGAAAATGATACCACAGTTCTGAGCATTGAGACATGCATTTGTACTCAGTTTTCCTTGTACTCTGGTAATCCCAAGAAAAATGTACTAGCAATTATATAGGTCAGGGGGTCTTCAACGTTTTCCAGACCAAGGACCCCCAAACTGATGGTGAGATGGAGCGGGGACTCCTAATTATATATATATATATATGGTATGAAATTGTGTTATATCAAACTGGTCCTATAGTCACTCTATTACATATGTAAAAATGTAACGAAAGTAGGTTTAAGTATTTCTGATTTGGATTCCTCGTTGATGGGACAGGTGTTGGACATGCCTCCATTGATCTGCTTACTAAAGTGTGTTTAATTCATGTTAATGTGTATTTAAAGACATTTCAATTAGTGGAAAAAATTGCAGGGGGAAATAAGAAAAAAAAGTCTAATCAACCAAACTTCCGCGACCCCATGTACCTCTGTGGATCCGCTAGGGGTCGTGGACACCCTATTGAAGACCTCCAATATAGGCATTATATATAGTCCAGGAATGTCAAATCTTACCTCAGTATAAATACTACAAATATAGTGAAGGTGCTGTTGGAGAAAACATGGAGGACACACCCATTAATAAAGAGGAAGCTCTAATATGATGGGCCCATTTCTGAACTATTAGCCAACATTTACACACAATTGATGCAGTCAGGTAACTTAGCACCACTATAATGGTGAAACGTAGTGATAGCACCATTATGCTATCACTATGGGGCTCATTTCCTCCTACACTGATTGGGTGGCTGGACATTGTTAATGGCAGATGGATGTAGACAAAAAGGGTGCCACAGGTGCAGAAGACTTAGAACTGTGGTAGAGGTTCGCCTTCTTAGGAAAATTACCCAAAACATTCAGTGAGAGCTACAAGGAAGGAGATAATGTGTTAGAAAAACCTAAACTGGGTCTCCGTGTGTTGAAGGAGTGGAGTAGGCATGCTGCACATCTTCTCCTAACCTGCTTGTTCCTTGTATGATAACTGTAAATAAAGGCCTCTATTTTCACTAAAAGCCTAACAAAGAAAAGAAATGACCCAGATCTAAATTTAATAAGAATAATTACCAATATATGAAAACTGTCTAAACTTGAGTCAGGCAAAAGTTGCAATCCCTGGAATGTACAAAGCTGGTATAGAAAACACCCTGAATTTTACAGCAGTAACAATAATGAAGTATTCAGGTCCCCTTTTCATAGTTGTGCCTGTAAAACCTTTACAGTGAAGCACTATCTTGTCTAAATTTATCAAATTTAAAGGAAATATACTAAGATTTGAGGTTGGTATGAGAACTTTGTGTTTTGCACATGGGAAATTTTTGAACAGGGAAAATAAATGGTTAATAAAAAGATCAAAAAAGCATAAAATATTTCATACTGCAGTTACGTTCCACAAACTTATCTCCATTTGTAGGCCAAAACACAATCAGATTATGATGTTCAAAAAACCCTCAGGAATGAAGTGAGGCGAGATTCTGTCCTGCGTTTTTCATGTGCAGCACGTTCGCACAGTTAGAGGTTTAAATTACACAGAGTATGATCGTAAAACATGCACAAATGTTCCAAATGAGTAAAAAAAACAATCCACTGGATTTTGTTTCCAAGTTTGAAGATGTTTCACTTCCCATCCAGGAAGCTTTTTCAATTCATTTTAAATTGATTTTTTACCAGCATTTACCAAAGTTCTTTTTAGGTCTTTTCTAACTTTTGATGCATATTCAAATTCAATTGAGCAAATGTACAGCAGAAAATGCTGATTTCAGAAAGGCAAAACACAGGGCCTAAAGCAAACCTTTGTTGATTTTTTTTATGCTGAGCATTGGAAACATTTCTGTAAGGAAGTCTTAGTTTTAACATAATACTCACAAATAACCTCTCCTCAGCAAATGTTATCGAATTAGAATTCAACTTTTGATTGCCATTACTCAGTCACAAGTGCAAAGCAAATAAAATTCACTTTCTGCATTTAGCCCATCCCTTTGGATCCCTTTGGAGATCAGTGGGCTGCCATTGTGTGGCGCCCAGGGAGCAGTGTGGGGTTAAGGGTCTTGCTCAGGGACCCAAAGTGGCAGTATGTGGGAGTGGGGCTTGAACTCAGAACCTCTGGGATGCAAGCGCAATTCCCTAACCACTAGGCCGCCACTACCCTCAGTGATGACAGCTAATCAGTACAATGTCTTTTTTTTTTAACAGGCGATGCTCCTTCCTTACTAAAGATCTTTTGGCAGCTCTTTTTAATAACAAATCCTTGTTGACTCCTTTTGGAAGATTCTTTAACTATGCTCTGTATTTGTTAACCTTACATTAATCTCTTTGTTAAGGAGCGTGAAATACAATTCATATAAAACAATCATTAGTATTACTGTGAGAGTATTACACAAATTTTCATTGATTTGATGTCATTCTTTGACTTTGTCCAACTGGAATTTAAATGATTAAGAGGTTATCAGAATATATTATTTACCAAAGAACATAAAAAAGGCAGTTGAAGGGATCATCCTGATGCCTCTAATCTCATTCTGTGGTCTATATATTATTGAAAACATTTGGGCAAATCATTAATCAGATTGGGCAGTCTATTTCAGAAGAAATCTGACTTTGTTTACAAAATACTAACTTTCATGGAGGACAGCTAAACTCGAGAAGATGCTTTTTGGCCTGTAAGCGCATTTTTAAAGTTTAGATCTGAGGGTCTGATGGGAGAACATTCCTCTGGCAGATGAGGATGAGATATATTTGTTTGGCTCTGATAACGTTCAGTAGATCTGGTGTGAACCTGGCCTCAAATACCAAAAGTTAGGTAAGTGATGGAACTGGTGGGAGGAGCTAAATGAACTGCATCACACTGCAGACTGATGGGACATGGAGGTATTTACAAGATACATTCAACAAGACCTCTGGAGATGTGCATTGAAATCCAGCTCCAAGATTCATTTTCTGCAGCAATGGCAAGGTTGGTGGCACTGGTTCAGGTAAAGTCCACCAGTTGGCAGGACCTAAAGTTTCCCTAACCATTACACTGCTTCTGCCAGCTTGGCTTCCTCTCATGCTCCATCCTTATAGCATAAAAAAAACATAAAAAACAACTGGGTAGGAACATTAATTCTGCCCTTTTTTATGCCTAAACCAACATAAACCTTTTGATCTTAGTTGGCTTTCATGTTTGACTGGACCACACAGACCAGTCTTTACCTCCACACAGACCAAAGGGAAGTGCCGGCCGAGTGGTTAGGGCATTGCGCTTGGGTACCAGAGGTTCTGAGTTCAGGCCCCACTCCCACGGACTGCCACTCTGGGTCCCTGAGTGGCAGTGTGGGACACTTAACCCTACACTGCTCCCCCAGGTGCCGCACAATGGCAGCCCACTGTTTCCCAACAGGATGAGTGAAATGCAGAGAGCTAATTTTGTTGCTTTGTACTTGTGACAATGAAATGACAATAAAGTTATATGATAATAATAAAACAAAAGAGTCCTGCCGGTCCATGATAATGAACTCAGGTTCCTGTTTATGACTGATGCCGACCACTGCAGGCAGAGAACACCATTACCTAGATTGCTATATGAAAACATTTTTAAAGGTTTGAGGATCTTCCCTCTAAGACATTTTAATATATATATATATATACTTTTTTTTTAAACAAATCAAAAATAGAAACCATTGAAAAGGTAAAACACATCTTTGAGGCATTATATCCAAATAAAACAAATCTTGCTTTAAAAAAAGACCAGAAAATAACCAAAACCATCAAAACAAAACAAAAAGCACAAACTTCTTTTCTTTCTTCATTTAACTCCAACTAGTTTTATTTGCAAAATGACGCTAAAGCATGTGTTATGAAACAAAACTTATTAAAGGTCACGTATTCCCATAAACAGAGCCATGCGCTTACATCAGAGAACTGCCCCTATTATGCCCTCAGAAAGCACAATATGGGAAAATAGAACTGAATGCTATTTATCTCATAATACATCAGTTACTATTATAAGTTATTATCATCATTATCATTTTAAGGACAGGCATAGGAAATAAAGCATACGTTAGTGTTTGTATAATTAGAAGAGAAAATATTTGAGAAGGCGATAAATCAAAATATTTGAAATTTAGAACAACGTTAAGGCAGCCCAACAGAATGTGATGCATTACTTACCAGATTTATTTAGCGTCTGTAAAGTTTAATTTCTGTTACTTAAAAAAAAAAGAAAATGTGCTGATACCTTATAGAGTAGAAGCTGTAAGTCCAAAACCGTCCAGAGATGCTTGAAGCCTGCACTGGCTTCTTTTCCTTATTAGAGCACCTGGGATTTACTCCTGCTAAAATGCATGTGTGGGTGTTTCTGCTTAAACCTAAGGGCGGGGGCTTTCCTAAGTCCCTCCCTCTCACCTGTTCTCCCTTTACGAGTTAAAAGTTGCAGTACTGGTTAAGTTACAAGCACAGATATGTTGCAGAGTAGGTCAAAGGCATAAGATGCCTATTCATTAAGATGTTCTGCAGCTTTTTTATGTTTCAGTGATGTTAAAGGTAAATCACTTCTTGGAACCGAGGATAAATAAAGACACACATATTCACATTTGAGTGGCTATTTAAATGATCGTCAGAATTAAGTTAGATGTATTTATCGAGATTTTTATTTCCTTGTTTATTATTAGAGCTATTACCTGAATGCTTTTATTGTTAGGAGAACTCCTGAAAGCAGCTGCCAGCTCTCCTATGCCCAAGATAACCTACAGCACCTGAATAATTGCTGGAGACCTCAACATTTTTCTCTGTAAATATATTTTTTTATATTTCTATAAGCATTAAATCCCCACCAGATGTAGGTTAGCACTCTAGTGATTCACATCTACAAAGAAATGAAAAATTCATTAACAGGATAGCCACTGAATGAGGTAACTAGTCAGCCGGGATTTTAACCCATTCTTTCTAGTTATGTTCTGTGATGATGGTGGTTTAGAAGGTAGGAGTTTGTTCTGTATCTGATGGGTTGTCAGTTCCAAAGTTTAGTTGTTGTGTCCTTGGGCAACACTCTTCACCTCCCCTTGCCTGCTGCTGGTGACCAGATGGCAGTTCTGCTTCAGTTACTCTGCCCCAAGGCAGCTGTGGCTACGATGTAGCCTACAGTGTGAATGGTTACTGTAAATCATTGATTGTGCTTTAAAGTCCTCAGACTTGATGAACCATGTTTACAAATTCAGGTGACTAACTGGACTATTCCAGGAGTTTTACTATGAAGAGGACTATTGTCTTTCTTAGAAACCCATACTTGTGTCATTTTATGTTTTTTTCATGAATGCCATTCCGGAAATTAATATTTGTCCATTCATCCTTCAGTTCTCTGAAATGTACCATTTATGCTGTAGGACAGCCCACACTGTGATGTTCCCGCCTTCAGTGTTTTCTTCTGCCAAATGCTGAGTACATCATGACATCCAAAGAAGAAAATGTTGATCTCATCTGAACAAAGCAGTTTCCTAGTATTTCAATGGGCTCTCTGAATATTTTTCAACAACTCATACACAAGCTTTCATTGGGAAAACTATACCTGTTATTATCACTCATTACTCTATGGCGCTCTACAGTTGCTCTATTGGGCTTTTGACAACTCATATTATTATTCTTTTCATGCTTATGCCAGTTATTTTGTGAAGGGCACCCTGCTGTGCTGGTTTATGATTAAAATATGTAATTTTGAACTCAGGATTTTTAATTAAGTTGACTGGAAGATTCCGAAACGTAGAAAAGCAGAAGCAATCATGGCAATTTTCAACAGAAATTTTTTATAGATTTCTTTGATATTACCCATAATGCCCTTCTTTTAAAATCTTTGGTAATAACTATTTTTAAAAGGCCATCTTTAAAGGTAGAGAGGCCAGCTTTTATTTCCAGTGGATCATCTAAATAAGTGGTCCTCCTAATTGTCAATCATTCTGGTCTGCGCATGCACACTTTCAGGCGTTTATGTGTGGTGAGCTATGGTTTCAGCCAGTCATTGAAGCTCACCGTTCTCTCCTTGTAAGAGAAAAAGTGTCTATGAAGTGTATGAGAAAAAAAGAAAGGCCTCAGAAGTGGCAGATGTATCCCAGAATGTTTTGTACGGAGAGATCTCCCTGCATAGCTTTATGAGATTTTCTGTCGAAATAGGCTGTTGCTACCCGACAGAACGGTCAGTTAACTGAGTTCGCTATAAAGTCCCCTATATAATCCCCGCTCTATATAGGGATTAAGGGATTTAGGGGTTAGGGTGGATGTTCGGACACAGTAAGCTTGTCTGTGTCACAGTGAGGGTGGAGGTGGTTTGACAGGACCAGAATGCAGACACTTAGCTTGAGGCGGTTACTTAAAGGTTTAATAACAAAAGTTTAACAGAAGCAAAAATCCAAAAACATAAATCCACAAAAATTCCAAAAATGCTGAAAACCAAGAATACTCACAACTAGAAGGGGACAAAGTAATGACGACAAACCAGCAAAGAGTGACTGGACAGGAGGAGATTATATGGGAGAGAGAAACAAAGACCAGGCTAATTAGCAGATTGGGAGCAGGTGTGAACAGAGGCAAGAAGGGAACTATGGAAAAGGAGACTGAGACAAGAGAGCAAACAGGAAATCTCTAAGAACTCAAATACAATCAAAAATACCTAGAACACAAGAATCGAAATAACACGAATGAAAACAAAAAATAAAACTTGGACAAAACCACAACCGTGACAGTGAACCCATTAACATTGGAGAAATCCATGCATCATACACCAGAATTTCTTCAGCTGAATCAAAACAAACATTTTGTTTAAAGGGACCTTTGACTGTGATATAAACATAAAACGTTTTCAGTCCAATCTTCCTTATATTTTTTTAATCAAATATAGAAACCCTTTCCATATAATCATTTCATTTGAATTATTTATTTTTATTCTTTGTAACTATTTTCCCACTCTAATGCAGTTTTCTTTTCTTTTAAATGGCAGCACTTTGAAGTGTTGTGCTACTAAAATGTGTCATGTAAATAAATTGCCTTTAACCTCATGTAGCATAGCCTGAATATGCCTGCCTGTAATGGAATAAACAGGAATACGACATCAAGTGTATAATCAATCAACAGGTTTTTGTTTTTAGTTATAAATATATTATTAAAGTTTAGATGAACATCTGAGACAGATCTGAATTCTATGAGGCTTTTATGATCCATCTGGTCATTTGCATTGCCAGTTTTCTTTCTCCAGAATCACACATTAGTTAGATTTCCTTACATTTTCATTACAATGTTGTTGTTTTTTTAAATCACAACCTTTGCGTAAAAGGTGAGGTAGGCAAGTTTCATTCCCTGTTTTGTTAATAGGCAACCTTTATTAATTAGACCCCTACATTTTTATCTCTCATCTGCTTGGCCATAACTCTCAATGGTCCGTACCTGTGGGAAAAATTTCCAAAGAAATCATATTTCATGTGATCTCCTGTGAACTCCTTAGACCTACACAAACTCTACTGTCATTTTGTATACACAGAGTGTATACAAAACAAAATTTCATTCATACAGCTTTCCAACAGTGAATGAGCAGCAGCTTAGCAACAGAAAGGAACAATTCCATTCATATAGTGCAGCAGTGATCAAATGTACAAGGCATTTAATGTAGAAGGTTCAGAGCAGTGCAAAAATAAATAGATGCAGGTGAAAAATGCAGTGAAAAACATTGCAGTTGAGTTCTATTTTGAATATTCACTATGTAGTGCAAGTATGATGTTATCAGTGTAACGCAGAGTCTCGATTTGTGAATAAACATCTCAGCTGTCTGATGGTGGTGGGGAAAAAGCTGTTACAGAATCTGCTGGACGGCATTGATGCTGGTAAGCCTCTTCCCATAGGGCAGCAGGGAGTACAGTCCATGTTGGGGGTGTGAGGGGTGGCTGATGATGTTACGGCCTCAGGACACGCAGCGCTGGGAGGAAATGTCTCTTATGGAGGGAAGAGGAGCCCCGATGATCCTCTCTGCTGTTCTCACCACTCTTCTAACCTTCTTCCAGTCTGAGGCGCTGCACCTCAGAACGCTCTCTATGGTGCTTCTGTAGAAGGCGGTGAGGATGGGTGGGGGCAGGAGGGCTCTCCTCATCCTCCGCAAGAAGTACGCTTTTGTGCCCTTTTGACCAGTAAGGTGGTGTTCATTTTCCAGGCGTGGTTGTTTGTGATGTTTGTCTCATTGTGTTTATTTCAGTTGTTTGTCTAACTGCAATTGGATGTTTATTGTTTCCCACGGTCGGCACATCTTTTTTCTGATGACGTGACATCTTCACGCATCATGGCAAGACAAGCTGTACCAAAGTTTTCATGAACCTTGGCCTGATTTTGTTTCTGTGTATTCGTTGCATAGTTTTCCATTGTGAATAGGCCATTCCAGGATGAGTATTCTTTGATCTAAGCCATTTCATTGTGGCTGTGATTGTATGTTTAGGGTTCTTGTCCTTTAGCAGCAACGTTTAGCAGTCAAACCTCTAACCCAGTAACCTTTTTAATGATACTGAAACTAATTTTTTGCATCCTGTTTTGAACTCCATTCATGTTAAAACTCTGATTTCCGGTCCCTGCTGAAGAAAGCATCCCCAGAGCCTTATATACTTCTATGGAAACAGTGTCTCAAAGGTGATGCACAGTTAGTTTTTCTCCACTAATTTCCAATATAAGATCAAACTGACCGTACCTCTCTGACTTTCCCTCCAACAAAGATTTTCTTGGTTTCCTACGATACGTCAGACCACAATACTGCCGGTTCTTCTGTAATTCAATTCTCTCTCTGGGCTGAGGGACTCTGCAGTAGAAGTGGTTACCATGAACCTCTTCAAACACACCTCATCACAATAAAGCTCTACTATGCGATTCCAACAGAGGGGATCAAAGAGAGCATGGGTGTAGAAGGGGTCAAGAGGCAATATAGTAATATAGTAATGTCACATATAGGTTTCCAGCTCAGTCAATTAATCCTGAAAAATATTTCAGGATGAAAATTTTACTGAAAGCCTTCAAAAACGATACAGACCTTACATCTAAAAAGGTAAATAGTTAAGGCATTAAACAAGGCATTCCTCTTCCAATCATCTTTAATTTCTTTTATTGTTTTTAAATTAGTTTATTAATTAGTAAAGCAATTTGGACTCCTTTGTTAAAAAATAACCCTCAGATTACTCAGGGAATATTCTAGACTATGCACCTCATGAATGTACTTTGTAAATTGTCTGGCTGTGACTCAGAGAGAAAAAAACAAAAACCCTCAGGTAAATTTCCTCCACTGTGAGATATGTAACTATCTACAGATTGTACGTTCCTGCAGGTCTGCTTCTCTTGTACATTCCACAACAACCACATCCAGGTTGCTCTGCAGGACAAAGTGTTGCCCGACAGCAGCAATCTGATAACTGGGCCAGTGCCCTGACAGACCGGCTCTTTTCCACCAGAACTGGTCTGTTCAGTTCATCTGCTTATGCTGCATAATGATTACAGTGAATCAGCAAACCAAGGCTGAACTGCAGTTCCTTTTCTCACCACTGTTGGGCAGCACAAATATGATGATGTCAGATACTTCTTCCTTCTCTTAAACACGGATTATCAGGGGTCCTAAACCAGTTCCAGAAAGGGCCATGTGGCTGCAGGTTTTCTTTCCAACCAAGCAATAGCGCACCAGACTCAGTCATCAAGTCATCATATTCAGATTGCACTCAGTTAATGAGATGACTGGAGTCTGGTGTGCTATTGTTGGGTTGGAAAGAAGACCTGCAGCCACACGGCCCTTTCTGGAACCAGTTTAAGACCCCTGGATCATTATCTAGTTAGCAACTGGACTAAACAGGAGAAGCCAACAGAAGTGTTTTGTAAAGCAGGCATTCCCAAAGTCGGTCCTCTGGGGCTGCTGTCCTGTTTCCTTACTCCAGCACAGCTGATTTTAATTGAAAGCTCGTTAACAGGCTTTTGCTCAACTGCAATCATCATAATCAGCTGTGCTAAAGCAGGGAAACCTCTAAAACCTGCAGGACAGCGGCCCGCGAGGACCAACTTTGGGGATGCCTGTTGTAAAGTGCTCAGAATAATGGGATCAGGGCCTTAGATTAGAAAAGAAAATCCTTGGTTTTTTTGAAGAGGTAAAACATCAGAAGAAAATAAAGAAAATTAAACTTGACTTTACAACAAAGCACAAAGGTCTTTATTTGACATGAAACAGAAGTATACTGACAGAAACAGAAACATATTCTCAGTTTAATGGCCCCACTATGATCTGTTCATAGCAACATTTTGGACTCATCTATTAATCACATCCATGATTCCCAAATAAAGTCTGGGCTATATGTTAAAAGTACAGCCGTTGCACAGTTACAGTAGAACAAACTATACAAAATCTTTTTACCCCTCTGTCAAAGACTCAAAGAATCTTCTTTTTTCTTTTTTTTTTTACATTGATGCCATACATTTTTCCCCCACTAAAGGCTTTTTCTGGGCAGCTGCTGTGTTGTTGCTGTTGATGCTGCTGGCTCTCTTCAGTTGGTAAACCACCTCAGCTGCCTCGTCAGACAAAATCTGTTCCAACACAAGGAAACAAAGGTGCAATTATGGGAAAGTTTTAAACCATCACACTCATTTTCTCTTTTGTTACAAAATAAATGAAGTTTTCTAACATGTTTTAACCTACATGTTATCAGCTATCACTGGCCACAATCTACTGCATAAGAAATATGACAATTCTTATTCAGTAATCCTTAAATTCCACAATATTTAATTCACTAATTAGTCAGATTTAAGGTTTCTTGGTTTAGCGCTGTATATATTGCTTTTACCTCAGAGCTCAACTTTATTTTTCTTAGTGTGGCTTAAAAATAACATTAGTCTCATAGTGACATTTGACATACACAATTAAAAGTAAGCAAACAAAACATCTTGATAGTTTTAATGCACAGGTACCTGAGATTCTGTTTTAATGTCGTCACAAATTGTTGTCATGGTTTCCATCCAGTTGCCATAGATACTCTCTTCCTTTTGAATGGGCCTCAACTTACTATAGTATAGATAAAACAGAACACAGTCAATCACACAAGAATACTCTTAAACCTGAAAATAAGAAAAAAACATTTAACATTTAACTTTAACCAATCTTTATGCCTAACTTTAGCCTTCATCCATGAAAACCTTTTTTACAGAACTTTAAAGGCAAACAGCAGACTTTGTGACCTAAAGGCAAGGCAAATTTATTTGTATAGCACAATTCAGTACAAAGACAAAGTAAAGTGCTTTACATCAGCGGTCCCCAACCACTGGGCCGCGGAACTGGTACCGTTCCGTCGTTCATTTGGTACCGGGCCGCACAGAAAAAAGTATATATATATATATATATATATATATATATATATACATATATATATATATTTACATATATATATATATATACATATATATATATATATTAGTGCTGTCAAAATTATTGAGTTATTATCGCGTTAACGCGAGGCCATTTTTTTTTTTTTATAACTTTATTTATCAATTTTCACAGAATATTCTTTACAGCATTCATGTTTTATACAACGCTGTCTTTCTTAACATACATAACCCTTACACAAAAAACACCCCAAAAAAAAAAAAAAAAAAAAAAAATTTAAAATAAATAAATAAATAAAATAAAAAAAAGTCAAAGCTTAAAAAACACATACACAATACATAGATAAATAATAATGACAAACGAAAATACAAAAATCCGTTCATAGCTGACTAAAATAGTGTAGCAGTAGATTAGTTATGATAAGATACTCATTTTAAATGTTTCCATATAGTGCAAAAATGGCTGCCATGTTTTGATAAATTTAGCAGTTGAACCTGCCAGTGTACACCTCATCTTTTCTAAATGTAAGAACCTCATGAGCTCCGAGAGCCACTGTTCATGTGTGGGTGGGGCCTTCTGTTTCCACCTCAACAGTATCAGACGTCTCGCAATCAACGTAGCAAAAGCTATTGTATTTGAATTACATTTGGAGAGTAAATTATGCGGGGGTATGATTCCAAAAACTGCAGTTAGAGCAGAAGGTTCAAATGTAACATTGTATATTTCTGAGAATGTATTGAATATAGATGACCAATAGGTGTGAAGTTTTGAACATGCCCAGAAAGTGTGGATAAGGGAGCCGACCTCTGACCTGCATCGATTACATAAGGGATCAATCCCTGGATAAAACTTAGCTAGCTTTTCATTAGAAATATGCAACCGGTGCAAGACTTTGAACTGAAGGAGTCCATGTCTAGCGCATATTGAAGAAGAGTGAACCCTGTGAAGAATGGATTGCCAGAGCTCATCTGTTAATGTAATTGCAAGATCTTTCTCCCAATGCGACTTAATAATCGAGAGAGAAGGAGATTGTAAATCTAGCAGTATGGTATAAATCTTTTTAATCGCCCCTCTTTGATGGATGTTTATACCAGTGATTTTATCCAGAGCTGTTTCTTCAGGCAGTTCAGGAAATGTGGGATATCTATTTTTCACAAAATGCCGCAGTTGTAAATAGCGGAAAAAGTGTGTATGCGGAATATTGAACTGTTCCATAAGTTGAGTGAACGAAGCAAAAATCCCATCAATGAAAAGGTGTTTAACTTCACTGAGTCCATTTCTTTTCCAAATTTTAAAGGCAGAATCAGACATAGAAGGTGGGAACATATGATTTGAACAGATAGGAGTATTAATTGACATAAAATGTTGTCCTAATTTTTTCCTACACTGCACCCAGAGTCTCAGGGAATTATATAGTACAGGGTTGCATTTATAGGTACAAACCTCTAACGGGAGGGCAGAGGTCAACAAAGCAGGTAGACTAGTCTGACCACAATTAGACGACTCAATCTGAAGCCAAGACGGGGTTTCTGTAGAAAAGTCACTTATCCAATATAGCATGTTTCGTATATTTGCTGCCCAGTAATAAGACTGAAAATTTGGCAAAGCTAATCCGCCCATAGGTCTAGGTCTCTGCATAAAATCTTTACGAATTCTGGGTGATTTGCCTCTCCAAATAAAAGCTGCAACGTGTTTATCTAGAGTCACAAAGAATTCTTTTGGGATGCAATATGGAATACACTGAAATAAATAAAGGAACTTGGGCAATATGTTCATTTTTATAGAGTTGACACGGCCCATTAACGATAGTGGCAGATCACTCCACCTTTGAAAATCTAGTTTAGTATTTTCAAGAAGTGGTATAAAGTTCTTTTTAAAGAGATCTTTATATTTGCGAGTAACTTTAACCCCCAAGTAGGTCACGTAGTCCGATTTAACTTTAAAAGGGAACTTTACAAATGAAATCTCCCTGGCTTTAGAGTTTATACTAAATAATTTACTTTTATGTAAATTTAGTTTATAACCCGAGATAGTGCCGAATTGTTCAAGTATGGTAAGAGCATGGGGAAGAGAGCCCAAAGGATCTGATATAAACAGCAGGAGGTCATCAGCATATAAAGATAATTTGTGCTCCTGATCAGCTCTATAGATGCCCTTAACCTTATCTTCTGCTCGCAGCTTAATCGCCAATGGTTCAATTGCTAACGCAAATAAAAGAGGGGATAAGGGGCACCCCTGTCTTGTCCCACGATGAAGAGGGAAGTAACAGGAATACAATGAATTTGTTCGAACACACGCCATAGGTGAGGAGTAAAGTACCTGAACCCAAGAGATGAATTTAGGGCCAAATCCAAATTTATTTAATATGTAAAATAAGTAGTCCCACTCCACCCGATCAAAAGCCTTTTCAGCATCAAGCGAAACGGCGACTTCAGGGGTTGCGGTTGACTCCGTGTATAATACACTATATTGCCAAAAGTATTTGCTCACCCATCCAAATTATTGGAATCAGGTGTTCCAATCACTTCCATGGCCACAGGTGTATAAATTCAAGCACCTAGGCATGCAGACTGTTTTTACAAACATTTGTGAAAGAATGGGTCGCTCTCAGGAGCTCAGTGAATTCCAGCGTGGAACTGTGATAGGATGCCACCTGTGCAACAAATCCAGTCGTGAAATTTCCTCGCTCCTAAATATTCCACAGTCAACTGTCAGCTGTATTATAAGAAAATGGAAGTGTTTGGGAACGACAGCAACTCAGCCACGAAGTGGTAGGCCACGTAAACTGACGGAGCGGGGTCAGCGGATGCTGACGCGCATAGTGCGAAGAGGTCGCCAACTTTCTGCAGAGTCAATCACTACAGACCTCCAAACTTCATGTGGCCTTCAGATTAGCTCAAGAACAGTGCGCAGAGAGCTTCATGGAATGGGTTTCCATGGTCGAGCAGCTGCATCCAAGCCATACATCACCAAGTGCAATGCAAAGCGTCGGATGCGGTGGTGTAAAGCACGCCGCCACTGGACTCTAGAGCAGTGGAGACGCGTTCTCTGGAGTGACGAATCGCGCTTCTCCATCTGGCAATCTGATGGACGGGTCTGGGTTTGGCGGTTGCCAGGAGAACGGTACTTGTCTGACTGCATTGTGCCAAGTGTAAAGTTTGGTGGAGGGGGGATTATGGTGTGAGGTTGTTTTTCAGGAGCTGGGCTTGGCCCCTTAGTTCCAGTGAAAGGAACTCTGAATGCTTCAGCATACCAAGACATTTTGGACAATTCCATGCTCCCAACTTTGTGGGAACAGTTTGGAGCTGGCCCCTTCCTCTTCCAACATGACTGTGCACCAGTGCACAAAGCAAGGTCCATAAAGACATGGATGACAGAGTCTGGTGTGGATGAACTTGACTGGCCTGCACAGAGTCCTGACCTCAACCCGATAGAACACCTTTGGGATGAATTAGAGCGGAGACTGAGAGCCAGGCCTTCTCGTCCAACATCAGTGTGCGACCTCACAAATGCGCTTCTGGAAGAATGGTCAAAAATTCCCATAAACACACTCCTAAACCTTGTGGACAGCCTTCCCAGAAGAGTTGAAGCTGTTCTAGCTGCAAAGGGTGGACCGACGTCATATTGAACCCTATGGATTAGGAACGGGATGTCACTTAAGCTCATATGTGAGTCAAGGCAGGTGAGCAAATACTTTTGGCAATATAGTGTATATTCACAAATCTACGCAAGTTAAAAAAGCCATGCCTTCCCTTTACAAATCCTGTTTGATCAGAAGAAATAATATGAGGTAAACATTGTTCTAGCCTGTGAGCCAGGATCTTAGATAATATTTTTAAATCCACATTTAACAGCGATATTGGACGATATGATGAGCATTCAGTTGGGTCCTTATTTGGCTTTAATAACAAAGAAATAGTGGCTTGACGAAGCGTTGGGGGGAGACATTGCCAGTTGAATGATTCAACAAACATGTTTTGTAATAAAGGAGATAAACTATCTTTAAAGGTCTTGAAAAACTCAACCGGGTAACCATCTGGTCCTGGAGATTTTGCATTCTGCATTGAGCCAATTGCAAACTTAATTTCTTCTACAGTAATCTGTTCCTCCAGTTGATCCCTAAGTGTAGAGTCTAAAGTTGGGATCGTCATTTTTTCAAAAAATGTGTCAAACAAACCAGGCATTTTTAAAGACTCTGATTTATAAAGGTTAGAGTAAAACATTTTAAAACTCTCATTTATGTCTTGTGGATCTGTAGTAATCTGTCCAGATTGGGTTTTAATTTCAGGAATTAAGTGTGCAGTTTCGGATTTACGGAGCTGGTGTGCCAAAAGTCTAGACGCTTTTTCCCCATGCTCACACCACATACTCCTGGACTTAAGGATCGCACGTTCAGACTTATCAGTAGAATTTAGATTAAACTCAGTTTGCAAGATCAATCTTTGTTTATATAAATCTGGAGACGGAGTTATAGAGTGCTGTTTGTCTAATTGTGAAATCAGATCTGTCAATTCAGATAAGCGTTTTACCTTTTGTTTTTTAATATGTGAGCAATAGGAAATAATGTGACCACGTAAAAATGCTTTCAAGCTTTCCCAAACTGTACTAAAAGCTATACCCGGTGAAATGTTTATTTTTAAGAAAAGTTCAATTTGTTCCGAAATATATTGTACAAATTCTTT